CCACCACCACCACCCCCATCACCACCACCACCATCACCCCCACCACCACCATCACCACCACCCCCACCACCACCACCCCCATCACCACCACCATCACCGCCACCACCACCATCACCACCACCACCCCCACCACCACCCCCATCACCACCACCACCACCATCACCACCACCACCACCCCCACCACCACCCCCATCACCATCACCACCCCCATCACCACCACCACCATCACCCCCACCACCACCATCGCCACCACCATCACCCCCACCACCACCCCCACCACCACCACCATCACCACCACCACCACCACCACCACCACCATCACCACCACCACCATCACCACCATAACCACCACCATCATCACCCCCACCATCACCCCCACCATCACCACCACCACCACCAACACCATCACCACCACCATCACCACCACCACCACCATCACCACCATCACCACCACCACCATCACCACCACCACCATCACCACCACCACCATCACCCCCACCATCACCACCACCATCACCACCACCACCATCACCACCACCATCACCACCACCACCATCATCACCCCCACCATCACCCCCACCATCACCACCACCATCACCACCATCACCCCCACCATCACCACCACCATCACCACCATCACCACCATCACCACCACCACCATCACCACCACCACCATCACCCCCACCATCACCACCACCATCACCACCACCATCACCACCACCATCACCACCACCATCACCACCCCCACCATCACCACCATCACCACCACCATCACCACCATCATCACCACCACCACCATCACCACCATCACCACCACTACCATCATCATCTTACTATCTTTATTTGAATCACATCACATGGTTTAGAGATAGGGGGTAGTGATAGTGATAGGGGGTAGTGATAGGGGGTAGTGATAGGGGGTAGTGATAGGGGGTAGTGATAGGGGGTAGTGATAGTGAAAGGGGGTAGTGATAGTGAAAGGGGGTAGTGATAGGGGGTAGTGATAGGGGGTAGTGATAGGGGGTAGAGATAGGGGGTAGTGATAGGGGGTAGTGATAGGGGTAGTGATAGGGGGTAGTGATAGGGGGTAGTGATAGTGATAGGGGGTAGTGATAGGGGGTAGTGATAGGGGGTAGTGATAGGGGGTAGTGATGGGGGTAGTGATAGTGATAGGGGGTAGTGATAGGGGGTAGTGATAGGGGGTAGTGATAGGGGGTAGTGACAGTGATAGGGGGTATTGATAGGGGGTAGTGATAGGGGGTAGTGATAGGGGGTTGTGATAGGGGGTAGTGATAGGGGGTAGTGATAGGGGGTAGTGATAGGGGGTAGATAGTGATAGGGGGTAGTGATAGTGATAGGGGGTAGTGATAGGGGGTAGAGATAGGGGGTAGTGATAGTGATAGGGGGTAGTGATAGGGGGTAGTGATAGGGGGTAGTGATAGGGGGTAGTGATAGGGGGTAGTGATAGTGATAGGGGGTAGTGATAGGGGGTAGAGATAGGGGGTAGTGATAGTGTTAGGGGGTAGTGATAGGGGGTAGTGATAGGGGGTAGTGATAGGGGGTAGTGATAGGGGGTAGTGATAGGGGGTAGTGATAGGGGGTAGTGATAGGGGGTAGTGATAGGGGGTAGTGATAGGGGGTAGTGATAGGGGGTAGTAATAGGGGGTAGTGATAGGGGGTAGTGATAGTGATAGGGGGTAGTGATAGGGGGTAGTGATAGGGGGTAGTGATAGGGGGTAGTGATAGGGGGTAGTGATAGTGATAGGGGGTAGTGATAGGGGGTAGTGATAGTGATAGGGGGTAGTGATAGGGGGTAGAGATAGGGGGTAGTGATAGGGGGTAGTGATAGGGGGTAGTGATAGGGGGTAGTGATAGGGGGTAGTGATAGTGATAGGGGGTAGTGATAGGGGGTAGTGATAGGGGAGAGTGATAGGGGGTAGTGATAGGGGGTAGTGATAGGGGGTAGTGATAGGGGGTAGTGGTAGTGGTTAATGTTCGGGTTAGGGCTAAATTGATGATTAGTACCAAGCCACACGACTCCACAAGACAGGAGCAAACGTCTTAACACTACCAACGACGAGCTTAGGGGTTCACGATGGCCGTGTCACAGACACTGAGACGCTGGGTTCAAGCCCTGGGTCTGGGTGTCTCTCAGGGGGTTCACAGTGGCCGTGTCACAGACACTGAGACGCTGGGTTCAAGCCCTGGGTCTGGGTGTCTCTCTCTCAGGGGGTTCACAATGGCCGTGTTAGAGACACTGAGACGCTGGGTTCAAGCCCTGGGTCTGGGTGTCTCTCAGTGGGTTCACAATGGCCGTGTCACAGACACTGAGAGTCTGGGTTCAAGCCCTGGGTCTGGGTGTCTCTCTCTCACAGGGGGTTCACAATGGCCGTGTCAGAGACACTCAGAGTCTGGGTTCTAGCCCTGGGTCTGGGTGTCTCTCTCTCAGGGTGTTCACAATGGCCGTGTCACAGACACTGAGAGTCTGGGTTCAAGCCCTGGGTCTGGGTGTCTCTCTCTCAGGGGGTTCACAATGGCCGTGTTAGAGACACTGAGACGCTGGGTTCAAGCCCTGGGTCTGGGTGTCTCTCAGTGGGTTCACAATGGCCGTGTCACAGACACTGAGAGTCTGGGTTCAAGCCCTGGGTCTGGGTGTCTCTCAGGAGGTTCACAGTTGCCGTGTCACAGACACTGAGAGTCTGGGTTCAAGCCCTGGGTCTGGGTGTCTCTCTCTCTCAGGGGGTTCACAATGGCCGTGTCACAGACACTGAGAGTCTGGGTTCAAGCCCTGGGTCTGGGTGTCTCTCAGGAGGTTCACAGTTGCCGTGTCACAGACACTGAGAGTCTGGGTTCAAGCCCTGGGTCTGGGTGTCTCTCTCTCCCAGGGGGTTCACAATGGCCGTGTCAGAGACACTCAGAGTCTGGGTTCTAGCCCTGGGTCTGGGTGTCTCTCTCTCCCAGGGGGTTCACAATGGCCATGTCACAGACACTGAGAGTCTGGGTTCTAGCCCTGGGTCTGGGTGTCTCTCTCTCAGGGAGTTCACAATGGCCGTGTCAGAGACACTGAGAGTCTGGGTTCTAGCCCTGGGTCTGGGTGTCTCTCCCAGGGGGTTCACAATGGCCGTGTCAGAGACACTCAGAGTCTGGGTTCTAGCCCTGGGTCTGGGTGTCTCTCTCTCCCAGGGGGTTCACAATGGCCATGTCACAGACACTGAGAGTCTGGGTTCTAGCCCTGGGTCTGGGTGTCTCTCCCAGGGGGTTCACAATGGCCGTGTCAGAGACACTCAGAGTCTGGGATAAAGCCCTGGGTCTGGGTGTCTCTCTCAGGGGGTTCACAGTGGCCGTATCTCAGACACTGAGACGCTGGGTTCTAGCCCTGGGTCTGGGTGTCTCTTTCAGGGGGTTCTCAGCAGTCACTCGAAAGTAGCTCTGTGACAGCTACTTCCAGGGCCACGGTCTCCGTGCTACGGCTGGGGATGTTGGGGGTCCTAGCAGGAGCAGCACAGCGGGTTCCTTGCGTCAATAAATAGCGATCACCTCTAGCGGACGGAGAGAGACACGGGGAGGAGACACGGGGAGAGAGACACGGGGGGGAGAGAGACACGGGGAGAGAGAGAGACACGGGGAGGAGACACGGGGAGGGAGAGACACGGGGAGGAGAGAGACACGGGGAGAGAGAGAGACACGGGGAGGAGACACGGGGAGAGAGACACGGGGAGGAGAGAGACACGGGGAGAGAGACACGGGGGGGGAGAGAGACACGGGGAGAGAGAGACACGGGGGGGGAGAGAGACACGGGGGGGGAGAGAGACACGGGGAGGAGAGAGACACGGGGGGGGAGAGAGACACGGGGGGGGGAGAGAGACACGGGGAGGAGAGAGACACGGGGGGGAGGGAGACACGGGGGGAGGGAGACACGGGGAGGAGGGAGACACGGGGGGAGAGACACGGGGAGAGAGACACGGGGGGGGAGGGAGAGACACGGGGAGGAGAGAGACACGGGGAGGAGGGAGACACGGGGGGGAGAGGCACGGGGGGGAGGGAGAGACACGGGGAGAGAGACACGGGGAGAGAGACACGGGGGGGAGGGAGAGACACGGGGAGGAGAGAGACACGGGGAGGAGGGAGACCCCGGGAGAGAGACACGGGGAGAGAGACACGGGGAGAGAGACACGGGGAGGAGAGAGACACGGGGAGGAGGGAGACACGGGGAGTGAGACACGGGGAGAGAGAGACACGGGGAGTGAGACACGGGGAGAGAGACACGGGGAGTGAGACACGGGGAGTGAGACACGGGGAGAGAGAGACACGGGGAGAGAGAGACACGGGGAGGAGGGAGACACGGGGGGGAGGGAGACACGGGGAGAGGCTGTGAGGGTTACAGGACAGTGTTGGCACAGTGAGGATCAGTGATGATGATGATGATGTTGCTGATGATGATGCTGCTGCTGCTGATGATTTTGCTGATTATGTTGTTGTTGGTGATGCTGCAGATGATGGTGATGATGTTGGTGATGATGTTGGTGGTGATGATGTTGGTGATGACGGTGAGGATGATGTTGGTGGTGATGATGATGGTGATGACGTTGGTGGTGATGTTGGTGGTGATGTTGGTGATGTTGGTGGTGATGATGTTGGTAATGATGTTGGTAATGATGTTGGTGGTGATGTTGGTGATGATGTTGGTAATGATGTTGGTAATGATGATGGTGGTGATGTTGGTGGTGATGTTGGTAATGATGTTGGTAATGATGTTGGTGGCGATGTTGGTGGTGATGTTGGTGATGATGTTGGTGATGATGTTGGTGATGATGATGATGGTGACGATGATTGTGACGATGTTGGTGATTATGTTGGTGATGATGATGGTGATGATGATGGTGACGATGATTGTGACGATGTTGGTGACGATGTTGGTGATGATGTTGGTGGTGATGATGGTGATGATGTTGGTGATGATGTTGGTGATGATGTTGGTGGTGATGTTAGTGATGATGGTGACGATGATTGTGACGATGTTGGTGGTGATGATGGTGATGATGATGTTGATGATGTTGGTGGTGATGATACTGATGATGTTGGTGACGTTAGTTTCCAGACAGGTTCTGTTTGTTCATCTGAGCTTGCATCCGAGCCAACTTCTCCTGCATTCTCTTGAGCTGAGACACGGAGACACAAGGAGACAGATTAGAGAAGACACAGAGATACACAGAGACACACAGAGACACATAGAGACACACAGAGATAGATAGATACACAGAGACGCATAGAGACACACAGAGACACACAGAGACACACAGAGACACATAGATACACACATAGAGACACACAGAGATAGATAGAGACACACAAAGACACACAGAGATAGATAGAGACACATAGAGACACAGAGATACACAGAGACACACAGAGACACACAGAGACACATAGATACACAGAGACACACAGAGACACATAGAGACACAGAGATACACAGAGACACACAGAGACACATAGAGACACAGAGACACACAGAGACACACAGAGACACATAGAGACACAGAGATACACAGAGACACACAGAGACACATAGAGACACACAGAGATAGATAGAGACACACAAAGACACACAGAGATAGATAGAGACACATAGAGATACACAGAGACACACAGAGACACACAGAGACATACAGACACATAGAGACACACAGAGATAGATAGAGACACAGAGACACATAGAGACACACAGAGACACACAGAGACACATAGAGACACAGAGATACACAGAGACACACAGAGACACATAGAGACACATAGAGATAGATAGAGACACACAAAGACACACAGAGATAGATAGAGACACATAGAGACACACAGAGACACATAGAGACACATAGAGACACATAGAGACATACAGAGACACATAGAGACATACAGACACACACAGAGACACACAGAGAAACACACAGAGACACACAGACACAGAGAGACACACAGAGAGAGACACACAGAGACACACAGAGACACACACAGAGACACACAGAGACACAGATACACAGAGACACAGACAGAGACACACAGGGACACACAGGGACAGAGACACACAGAGACAGAGACACACAGAGACACACAGACAGACAGAGACACACAGGGACACACAGGGACACACAGAGACACACAGTGACAAAGACACACAGAGACAGAGATACACACAGACAGGGACACACATAGACACAGACACAGAGACACACAGACAGAGACACACAGAGACACAGGCACACACAGAGACACAGACACAGAGACACACAGACACAAAGACACAGACACACAGAGACACACACAGAGACAGAGACACACAGACACACACAGACACAGACAGAGACACACAGAGACACAGAGACAGAGACACACAGAGACACAGAGAGACAGAGACACACAGACAGGGACACACAGAGACACAGACACAGAGACACACAGACACAAAGACACAGACACACAGAGACACACACAGAGACAGAGACACACAGACACACACAGACACAGACAGAGACACACAGAGACACAGAGACAGAGACACACAGAGACACAGAGAGACAGAGACACACAGACAGGGACACACAGAGACACAGACACAGAGACACAGACACACAGGGACACACAGACAAAGAGACACACAGACACACAGGGACAGAGACACACAGAGACACACAGAGACACAGACACATATACACACAGAGACACAGACATAGAGACAGGGACACACAGAGACACAGAGACACAGACACAGAGACACAGACACAGAGACACACAGAGACAGAGACACATAGAGACAGAGACACACAAAGACAGGGACACACAGAGACACACAGAGACAGAGACACACAGAGACACACAGAGACACAGACACAGAGACACACAGAGACAGAGACACACACAGAGACACACACACAGACAGAGACACAGAGACACACACACAGAGACACACAGAGACACACACAGAGACACAGACACAGAGACACACACACAGACAGAGACACAGAGACACACAGACACACGCAGACACAGAGACACACAGAGACACAGACACAGAGACACACAGAGACACAGAGAGGCACACACAGAGAGGCACACACAGAGACACACAGAGACACAAAGAGACATACAGAGACACACAGAGACAGAGACACACAGAGACAGAGACACAGACAGGGACACACAGAGACATAGACAGAGACACAGGGACAGACACAGACAGGGACACACAGAGACACACAGACAGACACAGAGACACACAGAGACACACACAGAGAGGCACACACAGAGAGGCACACACAGAGACACACAGAGACAGAGACACACAGAGACACACAGAGACAGAGACACACAGAGACAGAGACACAGACAGGGACACACAGAGACATAGACAGAGACACAGGGACAGAGACACAGGCAGGGACACACAGAGACAGAGACACACAGAGACAAACAGAGACATGCACATACACACACAGAGACGCACAGAGACACACACAGAGACACAGGGACAGAGACACACACAGCGACACAGAGACACACAGAGACACAGAGACAGAGACACACAGAGACAGACAGAGAGGCACACACAGAGACACAGAGACACACAGAGACAGAGACACACAGAGACACACAGAGACACACAGAGACAGAGACACACAGAGACACACACAGACACACACAGAGACACAGACACACAGACACGCAGACACACACAGACACACACAGAGACACAAAAACACAGCCACAGGGACACACAGGGACACACAGAAACACAGACACACAGACACACAGGGACAGAGACACAGACACACAGTGACACTGAGACACACAGACACAGGGACAGGGGCTAAGGGGGACACAGAGACAGAGACTAAGGGAGACAGGGAGAGACAGAGACACAGAGACACAGACAGAGACACACAGACACACAGAGAGACACACAGAGACACACAGAGACACAGACACGGAGACACAGACACACAGAGACACACACAGACAGGGATACACAGAGACACAGAGACACAGACTAAGGGGGACACAGAGACAGAGACACACACAGACACACACAGACACACACAGACAGAGACACAGAGACACACAGACAGACACAGACAGAGACACACACAGACACACACAGAGACAGAGACACACAGACAGACACAGACATAGACACACACAGACAGAGACACAGACACACAGACAGACACAGACAGGGACACACACAGGGACAGGGACACACAGACACACAGGGACACAGGGACATAGACACACACAGACACACACACAGACATAGACACACAGAGACACAGGGACACACACACAGAGACAGGGACACACAGACACACAGGGACAGGGACACACAGGGACAGGGACACAGGTACACACACACAGGGACAAGGACACACACAGACACACACAGAGACACACAGACACACAGACACACACAGAGACACACACACAGACACACAGGGACACACACACAGGGACACACACACAGACACACACAGACACACAGAGACACACACACACAGACACACACAGAGACACACACAGACACAGAGACACAGACACACAGAAACACACACAGAGACAGAGACACAGACTAAGGGGGATACAGAGACAGAGACACACACAGACAGAGACACACAGACAGAGACACACAGACAGACACAGACAGAGACACACACAGACACACACAGAGACAGAGACACACAGAGACAGACAGAGAGGCACACACAGAGACACAGAGACACACAGAGACAGAGACACACAGAGACACACAGAGACACACAGAGACAGAGACACACAGAGACACACACAGAGACACAGACACACAGACACGCAGACACACACAGACACACACAGACACACACAGAGACACAAAAACACAGCCACAGGGACACACAGGGACACACAGAAACACAGACACACAGACACACAGGGACAGAGACACAGACACACAGTGACACTGAGACACACAGACACACAGTGACACAGAGACACACAGACACAGGGACAGGGGCTAAGGGGGACACAGAGACAGAGACTAAGGGAGACAGGGAGAGACAGAGACACAGAGACACAGACAGAGACACACAGACACACAGAGAGACACACAGAGACACACAGAGACACAGACACGGAGACACAGACACACAGAGACACACACAGACAGGGATACACAGAGACACAGAGACACAGACTAAGGGGGACACAGAGACAGAGACACACACAGACACACACAGACACACACAGACAGAGACACAGAGACACACAGACAGACACAGACAGAGACACACACAGACACACACAGAGACAGAGACACACAGACAGACACAGACATAGACACACACAGACAGAGACACAGACACACAGACAGACACAGACAGGGACACACACAGGGACAGGGACACACAGACACACAGGGACACAGGGACATAGACACACACAGACACACACACAGACATAGACACACAGAGACACAGGGACACACACACAGACACACACACACAGAGACAGGGACACACAGACACACAGGGACAGGGACACACAGGGACAGGGACACAGGTACACACACACACAGGGACAAGGACACACACAGACACACACAGAGACACACAGACACACACAGAGACACACACACAGACACACAGGGACACACACACAGGGACACACACACAGACACAGAACACACAGACACACAGAGACACACACACAGACACACACAGAGACACACACAGACACAGAGACACAGACACACAGAAACACACACAGAGACACAGAGACAGAGACACAGACTAAGGGGGATACAGAGACAGAGACACACACAGACAGAGACACACAGACAGAGACACACAGACAGAGACACACAGACAGACACAGACAGAGACACACACAGACAGAGACACACAGATAGACACAGACATAGACACACACAGACAGAGACACACAGACAGAGACACACAGACAGAGACACACACAGACACACAGAGACACACAGACAGACACAGAGACACACACAGACACACACACAGAGACACAGACACACAGAGACACAGAGACACGCAGACACACACAGACACACACAGAGACACAAAAACACAGACACAGGGACACACAGGGACACACAGAAACACAGACACACAGACACACAGGGACAGAGACACAGACACACAGTGACACTGAGACACACAGACACACAGTGACACAGAGACACACAGACACAGGGACAGGGGCTAAGGGGGACACAGAGACAGAGACTAAGGGAGACAGGGACACACAGAGACAGAGACTAAGGGAGACAGGGAGAGACAGAGACACAGACAGAGACACACAGAGAGACACACAGAGAGACACACAGAGAGACACACAGAGACACACAGACACGGAGACACGGAGACACAGACACACAGAGACACACACAGACAGGGATACACAGAGACACAGAGACACAGACTAAGGGGGACACAGAGACAGAGACACACACAGACACACACAGACACACACAGACAGAGACACAGAGACACACAGACAGACACAGACAGAGACACACACAGACACACACAGAGACAGAGACACAGACAGACACAGACATAGACACACACAGACAGAGACACAGACACACAGACAGACACAGACAGGGACACACACAGGGACAGGGACACACAGACACACAGGGACACAGGGACACAGGGACATAGACACACACAGACACAAACACAGACATAGACACACAGAGACACAGGGACACACACACAGAGACACACACACATAGACAGGGACACACAGACACACAGGGACAGGGACACACAGGGACAGGGACACAGGTACACACACACACAGGGACAAGGACACACACAGACACACACAGAGACACACACACAGACACACAGGGACACACACACACAGGGACACACACACACAGACACACACAGACACACACACACACAGACACACACAGAGACACACACAGACACACAGAGACACACACACAGACACACACACAGAGACACACAGACACACAGGGACACAGGGACATAGACACACAGACAGACACAGCGACAGGGACTCAGCGGGACACACACACACAGGGACACAGACACACACAGACACAGACAGACACACACACAGGGACACAGACAGACACACAGGGACACAGACACAGACAGACACAGGGACAGGGGCTCAGCGGGACACTCCCCAGGTTCACCTCAGCCTCTTTTTCCTTCAAGATGGCATCGTCTCCAGAACGATCCGACCTGGGGCAGAGGAGCCGGGGATTACTTTACAGATTACATCGCGTGAGCCAGGGATTACTTTACAGATAACATCACGTGAGCCGTGGATTACTTAACAGATTACATCGCGTGAGCCAGGGATTACTTTACAGATAACATCGCGTGAGCAAGGGATTACTTTACAGATTACATCGCGTGAGCCAGGGATTACTTTACAAATAACATCGTGAGAGTCATGGATTACTTTACAAATAACATCATAAGAGCAAGGGATTGCTTTAAAGATTACATCGCGCGAGCCAGGGATTACTTTACAGATTACATCGTGGTAGGATTACTTAATTGATTACATTAAATATTACATTAAAGAGCCAAGGATTACATTGCAGACAACAGTCGAGAGCCAGGGATTACTTTACCGATTACAGTACAGATCGATAGAGAGCAGTTTGTACAGTGCGTAGGTGTACAGTGTGTACAGTGCACAAAACGAGTTGTGTACAGTAGGGCGAGGGGCAGCACGAGGCCTCGCGCGGCGTGGGAGGCGGCGGAGGAGGCGGAGCCGGGGGCGGAGCCGGGGGCGGAGTCGGAGGCGTGACGGAGGCACTCGGAGCGGAACGACTCGTACAGTAGCTCGTGCGTCACTTCCTGCAGGTCCTGCATGTGCGTGCTGTGGCGGGGCGAAGAGGGGGGAGGAGCCACGGGGAGAAGATTGGGTGACTTGAGAGTGAGTGAGTGGTTCTGGACGGGTGCGAGGGGCTTGTAACCCCTCCACCTTCCAAAATTTGCCACGAAACCACGACTTAAAAATCTAATTAACAAGCTTGTGCCGGAGGCACCAGGGGGACAGGTGTCTATGACGTCTCCTGGCCAGACCCAAATTGGCAGAGCCAGGAGATTGAATCTCTACCCTCGGAGCTCCTCCAGAAACAACGAAAAGCCACTTCGTGTGGCCACGTGGAATGTTCGAACGCTCACTGCGGAGGAGAGGCTGCCACTCCTCTGTCGGGAGCTGGACCCGTACCGCCTGGATCTCTGTGGCATTCAGGAGGTCCGGTGGACCGGTTCTGGCTCCTGCCACCGTGAGGGGTGGACAGTCCTCTACTCGGGGCAGGAGACTGCCAAACAACAGGGTGTGGCTCTTCTTTTGAACAAAATAATGATGGGGGCGTGGGAGCGTGGCGGTGAGGTGTGGGAAGCTGTAAGCCCCAGGCTACTTTGGGCTCGCCTTCCCATCAATCGGAGGCGAGGAGTGGTGGTCGTGGTTACTTATGCCCCCACCGAAGACAAACATCCGTGGAGGGATGCAGGCAAAGCCGATGAGTCAGACGCCTTCTATGACCTGTCACAGGTGCTGGCTAAAGTGGCCCCTTGGGATAGTCATCTTGTTGGGTGACTTCAATGACCGAGTTGGTCATGATGCTGGCACCTGGTCTTGAGTGATTAGAGGGCATGGGTCAGATCAGCTCAATAACAACGGTAGGAGGCTGCTAGATTTTTGTGCAGCGCATGGAATTGTAATTACCAACACGCTGTTCCGGCATCGGCGCATCCACACAACATCATGGATGCATGCCGGGTCCAAGCAAGAACATCTGCTGGACTACATAGTGACGGACCAGTGGATGCGAGGCCATGTCCTTGACACCAGGACCTACCGTGGAGCTGATCTGCCCTCTTACCATCGACTAGTCATCTGTAAGATGCGCCTGCCATTCTTCCACTCCGGTGGTGGGTGTATACCCAGGACCCCATTCCAACCTAAAGTGGCCTGGTCTCTTTTGTCTGATGAAAGTTGCAAGCAAGAATTTCATCATCGCTTGCGGCTGAGGTTGGCATCGTCCCCCACTCCTCCTGATGTCGAGGGTAAATGGGCGAGGTTTAGGACTGTGACTCATGCAGCTGCAATGGCTGCTTTGGGTATGCGGTCCAGACCTCCCCAGAGACCCTGGCTGACAGAGGAGGTGTTCAGGATGGTTGAGAAAAAGCGATAGGCCGACTGTCATCGGCTACAGAATCCCACGTCAGAGAATGAGGAGGCTTACCGCAGCCTTTGCTAGGAGGTTCGGAGAGCCGTGAGGCGCTGCAAGGATGGGTGGTGGTCGCGGGTTGCTGAGGAGATGGAGTCTGCCTCAGTGGCCCGCGATCACAAATCTCTATTTAACTCCATCAAAAAAGTAACCTGCAGCACCACACCTATTACCATCATTAGGGGGAAAAACGGTGATCCAATCTCCGACCCCCAGGAACAGGTTTGCAGATTTGCTGAGCATTTCTGTGAGGTCCTGGGGGAGGGGAAATCCCTCAGCCTGGAAAACATTGTGGCACAAAGTGGGGATGACCCTGCTGAGGCTGCAGTGCCTCAAATATTGGAAGAAGTCACCCCTGTGAGTGGCTGGCTGAGGTGCCATCTGTTGAGGAAGTACTGAAGGCGATCCGGAGTCTGAGACCAGGAAAGGCACTGGGTAGAGATGATCTCCCAAGCGAAATGCTGAGGGAGGGTGGCGTTTGTGCACAGACTGCCCTATATGACATCATAACAACAGTCTGGACCACTGGACGGGTTCCGCAGGATTGGAAGGATGCCCTGGTGGTCCCCCTCTTTAAGAAGGGAGGCCGCACAGACTTTAACAACTACAGGGGCATCTCACTCCTCAGTGTGCCGGGAAAGGTCCTGGCAAGGATTATTCAACATCGCCTTGCCAGGCACGCTGAGGAGAGGCTTGCGGAGCCCCAATGCGGTTTCAGGAAAGGGCGGTCATGCACAGATGCCATATTTTCTGTCCGTCTGCTACAGCAGAAGTGTAGGGAATTCCAACAAGACCTACATCTCTGCTTTATTGACCTGGTCAAGGTCTATGATACCATCAGTAGGCCTGGGCTCTGGGTTGTTCTTCATGCTTTTGGAGTCCCTGACCCTCTGCTCACGATCATTAAGGACCTTCATGATGGTGAGCGGGCCCGGGTAAAACTACGTGGCCGGGAGTCAGAGCCATTCCCTGTACAGCTCGGGGTGCGACAGGGATGTCCTCTGGCTCCCACATTATTTAACATCTATTTTGACCACGTAGTTAGTGAACCCTTCAATAGCTGCACCGGGGGAATCTGCATTTGGTACAGATATAATGGGAGGCTGATCGATGCCCGGGTGCGGTCAAGGGATGGCTCCCTATTGCTCAACCACGTTATGTATGCCGATGATTTGGTAATAGCTGCTCATTCAGAGGATGAGTTGGAGACGCTGCTGCTGAAACTGGAGCGTGCCACTAAGAGATGGGGCCTTACCATCAGCCCCACCAATACTAAGCACCTGCCTGGGTATTTGTACCATTGGACACTCCACCCCCACAACTCCCAATCGGTGATGGGGCAGTTGTGGAGAGAGTGGAGAGTTTCCCATACTGGGCAGTGTGCTTATGACCGGCTCCATTTTAACAGCAGAGGTCTCACTCCGAATCAGTCGAGCGGCAACATCTTTTCATCGGTTGCATAACGCTGTGTGGAAGCTACCTGGTCTGTCGCTCCGCACTAAGCTTCAGGTCTTCTCGGCCACGGTCATTGCCTCCCTTCTCTACGCTTGCGAAACGTGGACCCCCCTAATGGAACATCTTCGCCGGTTAGAAACATTTAGGCTAGCCTGCCTACGATCCATCCTGAGTTTAACCAGGCTGGATTGTGTGAGGAGCTCACAAATCTTTGAAAGATCTGGGCAAGGTTCCATCGGTGAGCTCCTCCGGCAGGCAAGGCTGCGTTGGCTGGGTCATGTAGCCCGCATGCCCAGCCACCGCATGCCGAAACAGCTTTTGTTCGGTCGGATCAAGGGGGCTAAACGGGCGCAGCACGGGCTAGAGAAGAGATGGAGTGACGTGGTACAGGAGGACGTGGAGCTGAGTGGACTTGCCAATGACTGGTACCAGCGGTGTCAAGATCGGCCTCTGTGGAGGAGGCTCGTGAAGGACGCTGCTACTGGGCAGTTGGAGGCAGTCGCCCTCCAACAACAACGGAGGGCGGAGGAGCAACGCTCACAACAACGAGCGGAGCGCCGGGTGGCTGAAGCACAGCAAGTTGGCACAGTAGGGGGCACAGGTGGTGCATCAGCCAGTCATCTCAGTCATCTCAGTCAGTCGACCCGTGGCACCTGGGTCTGCCCCGTGACCTCCTGCCAGCGGGCGTTCGACACTTCACGTGGCCTCAAGGTGCACATGGCCTGGCACAAGCGTCGTGGTGACGTCACCGCCACTTAGTGGCGAATGGCGGTTGTTGTTGAGTGAGTGGCTATGTGGGTGAGTGGGTGGGTGAGTGAGTGGCTGGGTGAGTGAGTGGCTGGGTGAGTGAGTGGCTGGGTGGATGAGTGAGTGGATGAGTGAGTGGCTATGTGGGGTGAGTGGGTGGCTGGGTGGATGAGTGGGTGGGTGAGTGAGTGGGTGGGTGAGTGAGTGGGTGGGTGAGTGAGTGGGTGGGTGAGTGAGTGGGTGGGTGAGTGACTGGGTGGGTGAGTGAGTGGCTGGGTGGGTGGGTGAGTGAGTGGGTAGCTGAGTAAGTGGCTGGGTGAGCGAGTGAGTGAGCAGGTGAGTGGGTGGTGAATATGTGGTGAGTGAGTGGGTTAGTGAATGGACGGGTGAGCAGGTGAATGAGTCATGGGTAAGTGAGTGGGTGAGTAGGTGAGTGAGTAGGTGAGTGGGTGGGTGAGTGATTGAATGATTGAGTGGGTGAGGGAGTTTTGAGTGAGTGAATTAATGCGTGAGTAGGTGGTGAGTATGCGGTGAGTATGTGTTGAATGATTGATGGGTAAGTGAGTGTGTGAGAAGGTGAGTGAGTAGGTTAGTGAATGGCTGGGCAAGTGAATGAATGAGTGTGTGGTGAGTATGTGGTGAGTGAGCGGTGAGCGAGCGAGTGGTGAGTGTACACCAGCATGGTGGGTGAGTGGTGAGTGAGTGGTGAGTGAGTGAGTGGTGAGTGAGTGGTGAGTGAGTGGTGAGTGGTGAGTGAGTGGTGAGTGTACACCAGCATGGTGAGTGAGTGGTGAGTGAGTGGTGAGTGAGTGAGTGGTGAGTGAGTGAGTGGTGAGTAAAAGTGAGTGGTGAGTGAGTGGTGAGTGGTGAGTGAGTGGTGAGTGAGTGGTGAGTGGTGAGTGAGTGTTGAGTGAGTGGTGAGTGGTGAGTGAGTGGTGAGTGAGTGGTGAGTGGTGAGTGTACACCAGCATGGTGAGTGAGTGGTGAGTGAGTGAGGGAGTGGTGAGTGAGTGAGGAGTGAGTGAGTGGTGAGTGAGTGGTGAGTGAGTGTGTGGTGAGTGAGTGGTGAGTGAGTGTGTGGTGAGTGGTGAGTGAGTGGTGAGTGAGTGAGTGAGTGGTGAGTGAGTGGTGAGTGAGTGAATGGTGAGTGGTGAGTGTGTGGTGAGTGAGTGGTGAGTGAGTGGTGAGTGAGTGAGTGGTGAGTTAGTGGTGAGTGAGTGGTGAGTGTTGAGTGAGTGGTGAGTTAGTGGTGAGTGAGTGGTGAGTGAGTGAGTGAGTGTTGAGTGAGTGGTGAGTGAGTGAGTGGTGAGTGACTGGTGAGTTAGTGGTGAGTGAGTGATGTTGAGTGAGTGGTGAGTGAGTGGTGAGTGAGTGGTGAGTGTGTGGTGAGTGAGTGGTGAGTGAGTGAGTGGTGAGTGGTGAGTGAATGAATGAGTGG